AAAAAATAGCTGGGTGTGGTAGTGCGTGCCTGTAGTTCCAGCTACTTGGAAGGCTGAGGCGGAAGGATCGCCAGAGCCCAGCAGGTCGAGGCTGCGGTGGCCAGGAGCGGCCACTGCACTCCACTCTGGGTGACAGAGTGAGACTCCAACTCAAAAAAAAAAGTCAGCTTGTGCTTCAGACTGTTGATCTATGTGCTGACAAATTCTAGGCAATTGACAATGCATTCCCATTCTGCTTGCTGTGTTTCAGTGCAGTACAGATACAGCCCAAGTCTCTATTGCTGCAGAGTATGTAAAGAATAAATGTATTTACTAGTCCAAGTTATATCAGAATATAGGCTGTAGCAGAGCTTTAAGAAATGATGATCTCAGTCGAGCTCGGTGGCTCAGCCTGTAATCCCATGCCTTTGGGAGGCTGAGGTGAGTGGATTGCCTGAGCCCGCGGGTTCGAGACCCGCCTGGGCAACTTGGCGAGACCTCATTTCTACAATAAATCAAAAATCAGCTGGGTGTGGTAGCGCGCGCCTGTAGTTCCAGCTACTCGGAAGGCTGAGGTGGAAGGATCGCCGGAACCCAGCAAGTCGAGGCTGCAGTGACTGGGAGCGGCCACTGCACTCCAGTCTGGGTGAGAGAGTGAGACTCCAACTCAAAAAAAAAAAAAAGAAAGAAAAAGAAATGATGATCTCTCCATTAGCTCTATTTCTCACATATATTGAACATCTTTAAATTCTTTGCAATCTGTGAAAATTCTGCTCTGTGCAAATATTATGCTAATCTCAATGATGGGCATAGTGTGGAAAATAGAACATATTCAGAGAAGGAATCACATAGGGCAAAAGTGAGATGTACTGTTGTTCCTTTGGAATCTGAAAAAACTATTTTTGCCTTATATCACTTATTAACTACAGGCAAAATTAAGTGTTTGAAAAATGTCAATAGCAGTTTGTAAAAACAAGTTGTTGTTATTTTTAATTGAAAGGCCCTAATAAACAACCTGCTATTATTTTAAAGTTATTTGTAAAATATTAACTGATTTTATTTTTGTCTACCAAGGTCTTTAATTGAGCAGAAGTCATGCTCCAAACTAAAAGGTGATTTGGTGTTGCAAATTAATTATGTTCCATGCTTTCATTTCCTATTTAACAAACGTTTTCATTTTAGAGACTATTTGTATGCCAAGGAATACTGGGAGTATTTTGCTAAACTATCCTTTTGAACAGAAGTCTGGCTTTTAGGTTGCTTTTAAAGGCAATCACCAATCACCAATCACCAAGGAGGAAACCTCTCCTCCAGCACAACCTAAACTCTTGGAAAGTCACATGCTATTCTTCAGTAATTTCTACTGTGTGCTTTTTTTAATTATACCATTTTCACAAATGTGTACATTATTTACATATACAGGTTGCATAATGGAAACACACTTGTTGTGCTGCATTGTTACCCATACTAATCTATTTAGTTCTCTTTTCCTCTCATTTTCTGTGCTCTATCTTCTTATCACATTCCTTATTTTAGCCATGCTTCTGAATCCCAAACCTTGTTTTCCACCATGCTATAATGCATTAAATACACAAATTCACAGTCTGGTAGTGATGATTTTCAACAGTGGTGATCAAATTTTCTGACATACATGGAGTCTGGCTTTGGAGGAGTAGGTGGCATCTTTCCATACTTTACAAGACAGGCCCTTTGCACAGTCACACCGTTGGAAAATTTCCAGCCCATGAGAGCCCTTCTTGCGCTGTTTGGTACAGACTTCTCCTTGATGGAGCACTGGTTTGCAAATTTTGGTCCAGAAGTGACGAGCACAGCAAAACCCTTCCATGCAGTCTGATGATCGTAGGCAGGGATCTCCTTCATGCCCTACAGAGATCAAGACCAAAAGACACTTCAGAAAAGTGAGCTTTGCAATCAGAAGAATGTAAAATATTTTGACTTATACTATCTTAAATGATGTTACCATTATAATGAATAATAATTGAATTTATACCAATTGGTTCTCCCTTTAATCACACAAATCCAGTAGTGTCTAATTTCCATTATTTGCCATCTGAACATCAAGTTTAAGGAATAGCTAGGACTTTGCTTCGTCTTCTCTTTACTTTGTCATGGTCTGATTTTACTATTTCCTTAATCATTTGTTTTTTCACTAAGTGAGTGAAAAAGTAAAATGATTGCTTTCAAATTAATAAATGTGATACTTTCTTCAAAGATCTAAACACACCTTTGATTCAAGGAAAAGACTGAAATTCCCAGGAATCTCTTAGACAATGCATCAGTTAAAGTCTAGCCATAAAAACAGAAACTTTGAGCATGTTCAACAGATGATATTTAATGCAGGTCATTGGTTACACAGGCAGTGGCAGAGTTAAGAATTACCAGAGGAAGGTGAGTCAACTTGGAGATTAACAGCATTTCCACATTTAGATTGGAGGATTCAAAGGAGTAGATGATTCCATAATCTGGGAGCAGGAATCATTAGCCAAGACTGGAATCCTAACAAGCCCATATGGCAGGAGCTAAAATGCAAAGAGATATACCCCTGCCAGAAACACTATTTAAAGCAGTGGAAGTAAGAGACTATGTTAGTTTTTTTCCTTTCTCTGCCTCTCAGTCTCCCACCATGACCAAACCCAGCCATATACATCTGACAGGGTGCCTAGGAAGGGCTATCTGTAAAGAGCTATGAGACAGGCAAAGAGCGGGCGGACAACCCATCTGAGGGCAAACAGGCTTGGGGCAACTGAGAAGCCATTGTGAAAAACATGTGGAAGCACAAATCTGGGTGTTTTATGCAAAAAGGAAAAGTCAACATCTAGCCCCCTTACATCATGGTGGGTTGATGTGTAATCTACATGATGTTGGGGTTGGCAAACTTTTCTGTAAAGTGACAGGTTGTAAATATGTTAAAGTTTTGAGGTCCTATGATCTATATCACAATCCTCAGTTCTTCTGTTATCTTGCAAAAGTAGCCATATAAAGTGTCTAAAAGAAAGTCTATGTACAATTTGTCCAATAAAATATTTACAAAAACAAGCAGTAGGACAGATTGAGCTCATAGGTTATAATGGGTCAACCCCTCATCTAAAGGGCCGCCTGTCAACCCAGACATAACTAATCCTACTGTGTGATTTGGACATAACTCACTAGTCATCCAACATAAGATGTATTTTTATCGGACATTAGAAAATTGCAAATATAATTAAATTAAACATTTAGTAAATTTGGATCTATACTATGACAGAGTTATCTGTTGGATTAAAGAAGAATACTCATGTAATAACAAATGCATGTGAATTTGGTAGAATAGAAATAGGAAATATAGGGAAAGAATTTAGGACTTCAGGGAGTGTAGAAAAAAATATTCCTATAAAGGAATTGTATAAATCTTTTTAGCACTATCCATGTGATCCTTAGTATTTCAGGCCAGACTAATAGGTCAGAAATTATTTGGGATACTAGCTCTTCAAAACATGAAAATGTAGAGGAAATTGTTTGGTTGTCAAACAAGCTGTGGAAATACAGTGTTTTAAAAAGGTAATCAAGCCAAATTTGGTGACACATGCTTGTAGTCCCTACTACTCAGGAGGCTGAAGCAGGAGAATCTCTTGGGCCCAGGGGTTGAGGCTGCAGAGAGCTGCATTCGTGCCACCGTACTCCAGCCTGGGCAACAGTGTGAGACTCCTTATCAAAAAATGAAATAATAAAATAAAATAAAGGTTAATCAATTCTCCTCATTTTTGGATTTATCAGAGCCTTGAGTATACCAATGTTTATATTAAATTCCTTAAAACTTTTTGAACACAGGGCATTTTTATTCACATGCTGTTTTGAAAGACAGTAATCCACAGAATATACTTGGAAAAAAACTCCTTTAAAAATGAAGATCTTTCTTGCTTTCAAAATTTTACTGTTAGTAATTAGGTTTCAATAATTTCATTCTTATAGGTGAAGAGAGACTCTATTTTTATATTTTAATACCATGTAGGGGTAGGAGCCTCTCTGAACCAACTGGAAATTGTTACCTAGATTCAGTATTTTTTGTTATTAAATCTTGTGACTTGACATGTCTACTGATTTAAATGGATGTGTCTTAGTCTAGGTTACTATTTTTTCATATGGAGTTGAATAAAATATAGGGTGTTATATTGGAAAAAATAATTTTGTGGTTCCAAATTTTACTATCAGTGATTTGATTTCTCAAATATTTTAATACAAGAAGGAAATTTTAACTGGGCTTGGTGGCTCAGCCTGTAATCCCATGCCTTTGGAAGGCTGAGGTGAGTGGATTGCCTGAGCCTGCGGGTTAGAGAACCACCTGGGCAGCGAGACCTCATCTCTACAATAAATCAAAAAATCGGCCGGGAGTGGTAACTCATGCCTGTAATTTCGGCTACTTTGGAAGGCTGAGGCGGAAGGATCTCCGGATCTCAGCAGGTGGAGACTGCGGTGGCCAGGAGCGGCCACTGCACTCCAGTCTGGGCGACAGAGTGAGACTCCAACTCAAAAAAAACCCCCAAAAAACAAAAAAAGAAGGAAATTTTATGACCATACCTAATCTCACAATAAACCAATTATTTTTGGTGGTTAGGTTTATGAATAGTATATCATCTGGTTGTATAGTGAAATAAAAATTTGAATCCACAAAGGTGAGATATGGCTCAAGGGCTTAAAGATTTAATCACATGGCAGCAACATTCTCCCATTTATATTCTGAAATACTTTATCCTTTGATACATGATGACAGAAATGTTTATATAGAACATTTCTTCTCAATTCCACATAAAAAGGGAGACATGTTTAGAAAATGACACAATTGATCAGGGTTCTGCAATTCTTGTAATATATATTTTCTAACAATTTAAGATTTCTAAGAAATTTCTAGGATCCTTCAAACTAAGAAATGAGAAATGCATTAAGTTAAAATGTTACCATTAAAGAACCATTTTCTAAAACCAATGAAATTAAATATGTATATTTTTATTGTACCTCTTTATGAAACAAGAAAAAATCAACAGAACAACAGGTACTCCTACCTTTTATGTGTGACATCTTGGTGTGTGGTCTTCCTAGATTCTGCCATCCCAAGTCCTGGTTTGAGTAATGGCCATGGTTTCTATCTCTGTGCCGAGTGCCATCCAGAGCTGGGATGTGAGGTGTTAAGATGCTTTCAGTGACTGGGATGCAAATGCCTAGAGATGGTCATGGTATCAGTTAGATTAACTGAATTCCATAAAGTAGTGTGGTACTTATCTAGGTATTCTCCTGATGTAAAGTATGATGCCATCTGTCAATCTATCTATCTATCTATGTACCTACTTACCTACCTATCATCTCTCTATTCATTAACTCATTTGCTCATTTATTGACATTGAGTAGAGTATACTTTGGCCCTGGAGTCAGGGTTCCTTCACTTTGATCTTGGTCTTTCTCAACACCAAGTGACCTTGGACAAAAGTAGAAATTAAAACAGAATTAATTTCACTGAATTATTGTAAATATATGTGGAGTGTTCAGAATAGTGACACAGTAAAAGATTAACTTAATGTTAGCTATTAGTAGTATTTTTAAATCATCTGACCAGGAAAACATCCTCTGTATCCAGGTCCCTTTGTTAATTAATAATATAATCTTGTTTGTACTATAAATTTATCTAATGGTATGAGGTCTTCTTCCCTTTACCTTCTGTCCAAATTGCTCACAGTAGGTCTATGCCCAGAAGTCAGGAACAGGCATGGGAATATGAACTTGATTATGTTTTTTTGTATAACTAAGTATATATTTGTGACAACCTTCTGCAATTATTTAATGTTTTTATCTGTGACTCTTCATTTCATCCTTAATGCTGAATTGTCTACGTATAAGTTCATTGAGATTGGGTAAAGTCAGGCAAGGAAATAGACTTCTTGTCTCTGTTTGGGGAAACCAATTACTTCATCACCATAAAAGCGAGCCACACGACATTTTGAAAATAAGAACTAAGACATACGAGGTCTGACAAGTTTGTGACCTTGCCATTATGCCCTTACATTGGTAGCATTATACAAACAACTTGGTAAAGTTTCATAACCTTAATATATCAGTGTCTCACAGTTGTGTTCAGGTCAACATGTGGTGTTGTCATGCTGAGTGAGATTCATTATTGTTGTTGCCTGTTTTTGTGTGCTATCCTGAGAACGTCAGAGCTTGAATTAGAGCAATGAACAAACATTTAAATTTCTTGTTAAATTTGGTAAGAGTAGAAGTGAAATCAGGGTCATTTTAGTCCAAGTTTATGAGGATAATACCTTGAAGAAAACAGCAGTGTACAAATGGATTAAATATTTTTCTGAGGGGGAGAGAAAGCATTACTGATGAAGAGAGGTCAGGATGGCCAGTAACAAGCAGAACTGATAAAAACATTGCAAAAATTCATCAAATTTTGCATCAAAATCATTAGCTGACTGAGAAGCATAGCAAACCAAACAAAAATTGACAGAGAAACAGTTAGAAAAATCTTAACTGAAAATCTTGGCATGAGAAAGGTGAATACAAAAATGATACTGAGGGAGCTGCTGCTTTCATGACAATGTGCCAGTTCACATAGTACCTTCTGTGAGGGAGTTTTTAGCCAGTAAACAAAAAACTGCATTGGAACACCCTCCCTTCTCACCTGATCTGATCCCCATTGACTTTTTCTTTACCCAAAGATAAATGAACATTGGAAGGAAGGCATTTTTATGACATCCAGGGCATCAAGGGCAATACAATGGCAGTTCTGTTGGCCAGTCCAGAAAAAGAGTTCCAAATTTGTTTTGATGGATGGACTAGACATTAACGTTGGTGCATAGCTTCCCAAGAGGAGTACTTTGAAGGTGACTGTAGTAGTGATATTCAGCAATGAGGTATGTAGCACTTTTTCTAGGATGAGTTTGCAAACTTAATTGTCAGACCTCATAAAATTGGAGAAGTACTTAAAACTGCATTACTAAATCATACCAGATTCCTTTCTTTGACTTTTTTGCATATGAGGGGGACCCAAAAAGTCCTGGGATTTATTTATAAAAACTTGTGTATTTATTCTTACATGTTTAAACTTAAGTCACCTTCAAAGAACTCTCTGTCTGATAAAATACACCTATGGAGCCACTTTTTCCACTGTTCAAAATAGTTTTTGACCTCATCAGTGTTGATGCCTTACAGTGCTTCTGCTTTTTTGTTTGTTTGTTTCACTTCTTCCACATCATTAAAATGTTTCCCTTTGAGAACTTTTTTCATCTGGGGAAACAAAAAAATTTGCTCGGGGTGAGATCAATGAATAGGGAGGGTGGGCACAAAAGTCATGCTGTTTTGTATCAATAACCGCTGAACACTTAGTGTGACATAGACAGTTAGGCTCATAAAATGGACCATCATGAAATGGACAAACATGTTGAAAGAATCACCAAAAAAAAAAAAAAAAATTCACTGAAGCCGAACACAGCCTCTCACAACAACGCTAGTTAGTACATTGATGCCAATAGGTTCCTAGAATACTGGACTAGGGTGGGAAACCTGTACTACAAGAAGCCTACCCTCCAAAAACCATTCTGTTTTTTGGGGGGGTGTCTCTCCTTTGTACATTCACTTACGTGTTTATCAGAATAGAACATCTTGCTACTAATATGTAACACTTCAGCATGGCAATATCCTACATCAGCATAGATCATAAAATACAGAAGGTAGACAGAGTCCAGGAAAATTAAGATTTGGAAGGTAAATCAGGTAATCATTTCTTTTTTTTTTTTGAGTTAGAGTCTCACTCTGTCGCCCAGACTGGAGTACAGTGGCACGCTCCCGGCCACTGCAGCCTCGACCTGCTGGGCTCCGGCAATCTTTCTGCCTCAGTCTTCCAAGTAGCTGGAACTACAGGCGTGAGCTACCATGCCTGGTTAATTTTTTGATTTATTGTAGAGATGAGGTCTTGCCAAGTTGCCCAGGCGGGTCTTGAACCCACGGGCTCAGGCAATCCACACACCCCAGCCTCCCAAAGCGCGGGATTACAGGCTGAGCCACTGAGCCCAGCTAATTCAGGTAATCTTATACTTCCTAAACCATTTCTAAAAGGCTAAGCTTTTGCAATGTGTTTGTTCATTTTTATGATGGGTGATTTACAAGTGCATCTGCCCACATCATGCTGAGTGTCTCAGTAGTCTGAGTAAGAAGTTAGCCTGACTAGCAAGACAGCTTCCTACAACGAGAAACAGAGACCCATGAACACTTAGTGGGATCTTTTACCATTATTGCAGCGGGTACCAGGGCAACACATGCCATCTCGATGGCAGCGCTTCTTTTTCCTCCGACACACCATGCAGGCTGATGATCCTTGGTGGGGACTGTGGCAGTATCTCCCAACTTCACACTCCTTATCACTGCTACAAGGGTAGGCCTGTCGTTATGTGAGACAACACAAAAGCAAAGGGTTAGATCTTGTTATATTTGAGAAACATTCCCATAGCAAATCATAGTGGAAAAATCTTCCATAATGTGTCCCTCCTGAAAGGAAATATACCATTGTAATAATGTCCTGAACATAGATCCTTACTTCACTGAGAGTTTATAAATATTGATTGTTGATGGTGACAGAGTAATTTGACACTATTCATTTATTTTCATTGACCCAACTTTAAAGTGAGAGTTTGTGCTTGTTGGTAGAACCCTTATGAGTGGGGTGGGTTCTCAGGAACACTTGCAAATGTTGCATTGTTGCTAATTTAAGGTACAGATGAAACAGTTATTCTAGCCACTCTGTTTTTCATCGGCTAAAGGAGTATGAGAGGAAGATTACATAAAACAACAAAGAGACATGCTAGAAACCCAAACGTATCTCTCATATTTTCTGTCCAACTATGGAACAAATATTTTCAGAGTAACTTCTCATAATTCCTGACTATGAAAGCAAGGAGAAAAAAATCACTTCCAGAGCAGTTACAAACAACAAATTGTTTGGCACAAAGACACCTAGGTGCAGAATCCTCATCCCAAACATGGTGATAAGCAGCAGCAGAGTTCCAAGCAACCAGAGAGATGCTAAACTCCAAAGACATCTTTATATTTTCGGTAAGCACAAACGCAGGATCTTTACGTACCAAAATAGCCCAACAAGATACTATATCTTCAATTTACACAGAAAGGACTTTTATGCATACATTTCTCTACTAAGTGATGTGTTCAGAAGACTGCTTAAGCAGTATCATACATTATCTCAAAAAATATATACATATATATTCAATTTAGGCACTCTTTGCCTCTTGGAACTTTTTGGAACATTTAAAATGTCCCTGTTTTCAGAGACTAAAAGCTGCAAAACTAAAATGTATTACAACATATCAAACTTACTTATAGTTTGAGGCAGAGAGATTTACTTGTAAGTTTTTTTTCCAGAAGTTGATTTTTTTCCTGATTTTTAGAGTAATGAATTTATTTTTTTTAACTGGAGTCTCACTCTGTCACTCAGGCTGGAGTGCAGTGGCACACTCATAGTCAACCCAGTATCGACCTGCTAGACTCCAACAATCCTTCCGCCTCAGCCTTCCAAGTAGCCGGAACTACAGGTGCACACTACCATGCTTGGATAATTTTTTTTATTTATTGTACAGATGAGGTCTCGCCAAGTTCCCCAGGCTGGTCTCGAACATGAGGGCTCAGGCAAACCATTCACTTCAGCCCCCCAAAGTGCTGAGATTACAGGCTGAGCCACAGAACAATTTTTTAAATTGAATATTACAGAATATAAAAAGAAGCTATGCACTAGTTTTTAAGCAAGCACAAATGATTTGAATATAAAACTATAGGATGCAATTTTCATGACTCTCAAATAATGTGTGATTTGACTGTGTTACTTATGACATTAGGACGGATGACCTCACTCTGCATGAATTAAGTGATCCTTTTTCTTTGTTCTTTTTCAGTCTCTTCATTTCCTCCAGTACCTTCTCTCCTCCTGCCCATCTCCTGCATATGTGTGTACTCATTCAGCCCCCACGTGTTTTCCATTTAGATCTGATCATCTTCAGTTAGAAAAAGGAAATGTGAAGTTTATGTGTGAGTCTGAGGGATAAAAATATATTTTAGCATCATTACAATTTCTTGTTTATCCTAAAAAGAATTGTATAGAAAAACCACTAACTTCAAACTGAAAGTGATTTTGAAGGATTGCATAGTGGCAGTGTTTGAGGCATATATGATAATTGGAGCCAGATAAAGCTATAAAATGAATTTGCATATTATCGTCCTACTCTGTAACCTCATCATTAGACTTAAAAGAATCTTAAGAGGTTGAATTCAGAGCATTAGGCCATTTTTCAAGAATCCAAGACTGATGAAAACAAAACAAATGTCACTTCCCGCCTTACCACACACTTTCCCCCAAGCACTTTACTCCCTTCATATTTAAAATCATTAGTTTTAATTGAAATTCAATTCACATGTTTCTGATTCATTTACATTTATTCCATCAAATTGTTTTGCAAGAAACATTTGATGTCTTACAAGTTTCTTTCCTTCCTCAAAAATAGGACATGTTCTTTCAACGGAAATAAACATGTGCCACATAAAACATCATGTGCTATTTACAACTCAAACAACAAACCCTGAAGGGATTCTGAATATAGAATAATACTGAGTTTCATTAAAAAATAGTCTCCATTATAGGCTAGTTTATTTATTAGTTGTTATTAATAGTTGTTTATTTATTAGTAGTTTGATAAAATATCAGTTCATTTATGCAGAAAATTGTGTAGGGCATCATCCTCATCATCCCAGTCTCAGTTGATGAGAAATGGAAAATATTGAAATGGCGAATGTTTGATAAAGGCAGTATTGGAAAAAGTGGTATGCACGGTAGTTCTTTATTTGAATGGATCACAGTAAAATTGTCATAATTCAGTTTTTAAGGAAGAAGCTCATTTTGTCTAAAACAGAAAGTATATTAGAGGAAATGTAGTTTTATTGTGTTTCAATATGTCTTTTAGTTAACTTGAAGTAGAAGTGATGCAGGCAGAGAGAGTATGTGATTTTAAAAATAAAAATACTAGAAACATTCTTTGGAAATTAAAAAAAAGCTAAAATGCAAAGTTATATATCACAGCTTTTGTAATGCTTATGAAACTCTTGGATGCAATAAGCAGATTTTATATATGAATAAAATCAAGAAAGGATGAAATAAGTTGATGAGAGTAGGTTTTAGGGAAAGTAAATGATATTTGGGGGAGATATGCCCTAACTTTTAAAGTCAGATCTACTTAATTATAAAGATTCCCTTGGGATAACCATAAGCAAGAAAACATAAAGCATGAGAAAATATCATTCTAATCAATTAATAGCAATTCTCATGTTTTAATAGGCATAATGCATTATTTGTTTAGTATGGCATTTTATTTTTTATTTCATTATTTATTTTTGAGTTGAAGTCTTACTCTGTCACCCAGACTGGAGTGCAACGGCACACTCACAGCTACTGCAGCCTCGACCTGCTGGATTCAGGTGATCCTTCCACCTCAGCCTTCCAAGTAGGAACTTCCAAGCTGGAACTACAGGCATACACCATCACACCTGTCTAATTTTTTGATTTATTGTAGAGATGAGCTCTTGCCAAATTGCCCAGGCTGGTCTCAATCCCGTGGGCTCAGGCAATCCTCTCACATCGGCCTCCCAAAGTGTTGGGATTATAGGCATAAGCACCATGCCCAACCTAGTATGGCATTTTAAACAAGGCATTTTCAACTTAAGTATGAAGGTTCTGTAGCTTTCCATTTAGTTTTTTCCTATAAAAATCTCTTTAAAGTGTCTGGGAATGGTATCATAGGTGTGTGTGTGAGAGAGAGAGAGAGAGAGAGAGAGAGAGATGGTTAACAGTAGTAATGGAGGACCATGAAGAAGAAGTGATGACTGTGGCAATGTAAGGATTGCTAGCGGGAATTATATAAATTAATAAAAGTGCCATTCATAAATTTTTCCCATGTAAAATTCTTATTTTCCACATGCTTTGGCTTCCAAAGTCTGTTACCTATTTCCATTTTATGATGGCTTGTCATGAACAAAAAGTGAGTTGAGTACCTTAGTCTAAGTTTCCATTTAACAAAATCAATAATATGCTTTTACCGGCACTTATTTTAGAGGTGAATTAAAAGGCTGGTTTTTATTTTACTTTCTGTAGACATTATTAATAGTGGATCTTTATGGATATTTATTTACCTGGACTTTAGATGAACAGACTAGATAACTTTTCCTTTTTTCTGAGGAACGATCATGTGGAAGACTGGAAATCAAGTGAAAGAATTAGGGAAAGACTCTAGTACACCTGTCCCATATTAAAATATCCCACAATTGAATCAGAAATCTGGCTTTTTGAGCATCCCAGAACATTTAGCTTCATGTGGAATTGTTCATTACCGCCTTAGTTACAACTGGGAGATGAATTAATTTGGGACACCTATTAATAGCAGATGATTGGCCATAAATTAAGAATATATGAGAGCTGTCCATGATTAGGCCAAAAATGAAAGATGTTTTGTCCAACCCACTTTCTAGGCTAAAAATAGAGTGGTTTCCACAAATAGCAGTGTTAGTTATCATTACAACCATGACATGAACTAAAAAAAGAATAAACACATTGGACGCAGCTTGAAAATAAAGTCTATAAGAAATTAGCCTTTTTTTTAGTATAAAAGATTTTTTAAAGTCTATTTACTCTGTGCTAATTTGGAATCATTATTTAAAATTTTAGCAGTGACATGAAGACAGGTTAAGTAACTGCTGGAAATAAGTAATGTGTGCTCAGTGGCAGAGAATTCTGGGATTTTGAGCTCTATCCTGGCTTTCTGGACTCACTGTAAGGTGTCATGACTAAGAGCATTTAATAGTGAGGGATCGATGCACACAGAGATAAGGTGACTAAGTGGTGACCTACATGCTGAATTTAAAGATTAGAAAAATAGCCGGGCTCAGTGGCTCAACCTGTAATCCCGTGCCTTTGGGAGGCTGAGGTGAGTGTATTGCCTGAGCCCGCGGGTTCGAGACCCGCCTGGGCAGCGAGACCTCATCTCTACAATAAATCAAAAAACTCAGCTGGGA